TTTGTTTGCCACAGGCCAGCTGTGGCTGTCACCTCATACCCACCTGAGACACTTGACCACCATGTCCAGATCCACCAGGTAGGAGATGGCATAGGGTTTGCCGTTGTCCAGAGTCTCCAGAGCCTGCGAAAGACAACAGCGGGTGAGGGGGGAAACTCAAGTGTACAGTTTGACTCGGTTTGTAATTTGCAGTCTGGATCTGTCCTGCATGTTGGCCTTTTGCTTCCAGCTTCCCAAAAATACCTCTCCACCCTTTGCAGCCCTGTCCGAGCCTGAGCTGTGGGTGAAGCCCCTGGGACACCCGATGGACACCAACCCCCGTGGGCAGAGCTGGGTCACGGAGCACAACACTCACCGCCAGGTAGGCCCGGTCCCGCTCAATCAGGTCAGCGAGGCGGTGCAGCAGCTTCCCCCGCTGGGAAGCATCCATCCTCCTCCAGGGAGAGCCCAGCTGGAACGCTGCCTTGGCTGCCTTCACCGCCTTGTCCACATCTGCCTGCAGAGGAGGCCAGGAAGAGGGTGAGAAAGGAATAACCAGCCCATACACACTCTCTCTCTCTCTCAAAATCCAGTCTCTAGAAGAAAACAAGCCCTAGCCAGAGTGGCTGCTTGTGCCAGGCTTTTTGGGGACAAGAACCTGCAGCTTTGGCAGCTGCCCCACTGCAAGACACCATCAGCACATGGGCCACAGCCCCCAGGTTTGCCCTGGGACCACCAGCCCGGGCAGCACTGCAGCAGCACAGCCTCAGCACAAACACTGCACTGGAGCCCACACAGCTTTCCCAGCCAGACTGTATCCATGGGGAAGAGGGAACAGGATTGGTAGTGCAGCAGAGGGTGCAACAGCTGTGCAGCCACCACCTCCACCCTCACTCACACTGTTAGTTCAACTATGGGGAGTGCAAACATCACCAAGTTATTTCTGCAGTGTCACCTGCTGAGTTAATATTTGCATCCTAGAACCAGGTATGGAAAAAGCTCTGGAAGTGTGCTTTTGACACTCTTCAGGATCCAGTCTAGAGGAGTTTTTCCTTGATCAGAGATCTCTGATCCATCATTTTGTCCTGTCAGGCACTAATTGGTTTCTGGTTGGTTCCCTGTCCTGGCTTGCTGGACTGGTCTCGCCAGGACAAGCCAGGCTGCCACAGAGAACAAACAACAAAGGGTTTCCCTCACTCACCCCTCCCTTGGGGAACTCAAACAAGTTTCCAGACTGTAGGAAGAACCCAAAATTGCTGGGAAACACCATCTTAGCTCTGCCACAAACTCTTAGCAGGGCCTTGCGTAAGGCAGGGGATGATTATGTGACTATTCCCCACCAGTTCTTTTTTCAATTTTTTAATTTCCTAGGGCTGGGATTGGTCTGCCACTGCAGCAGAAAGGGGCTGTGAGGGGAATCCTGACCTATGTCCTCTCTCACCATGACTCTGTGTCACACTGCCAGCACAGCACCCACAGGACCACAGAGGTGTCTGCCTTCATCCCTGCCCATCCCAGCAACCTCTGCCCAGGACTGCTCCCAAACCTCCCAACTCTGGCTCTGCTGCACACCACATCAGTTCCTCTCTGCCCTTCCCAGTCCCAGCTTGGTGCTGGGAAGGGCAAATCCAGGTTCTGTTGAGAGCAGCAGTCAAGGAAGAACACAAGCAGCACTTGATGAGGTATTTGCTTACAGAGCCCTTGCAGAGCTGCCCAGGTGAGAGGGGAGGTGGTGCCTTCCTCTGCAACCCCCCTGGACCTGCTCACACACAAAACAAACCCACTTCACCCAAACCACACTCACCTTATCGCCCTCAGCCACCTGGCAGATGACTTCCCCCGTGGCTGGGTTGATGGTGGGGAAGGTTTTCTTGCTGACAGCATCGTGCCATTCGTTATTTATGAAAATCTGCAAAGCAAAAGCCAAGCAGAGCTAAGGCTTTGAGCCAGAGCCCAGTGAAATCTGGGGGAGCTTTGTTTGATGGTAGCTGAGGAAGCTTTAATTAAAAGGGCTTAACTTGACTTGTGTGGGCTCCAAACCTGCACCAATATGGAGATATTTTAGCCTAAAAGCACACAACAAAAGACACAGCCTCGAGTAAATCAAAGAAATCACAGCTCAGCAAACAGCATGAGAATTGGAAGCCGTTCTCATCTTGGGAAAACTTGGAAGGCCTGGAAGCCTGGCTGGAGGTGTGCAGGGATACTGGGAAACTCAGGAGACTGAGCAGTGGGAAAATGCTTTAGGCACATTCATACAGTCATTCGATTTTGTACAGAGCACTAGAGTTTTTGCAGCATTTCTTACAGTCTTAAGGATCTTTTCCAACTTAAATGATTCTATTATTTCCCAGATTAACTGATTTTAGGCTCCCGTGCACTGCTCTGAAACGGAATCAGGTGCCAACAACAGCTTTTCACCAATTCTTTCTTTCTTTCTTTAAAAGGGTGAATTTGTTTTTCCAGGTCCAAAACAGGAGCGCGAGTGCAAAGATCGCGGTGATCGCCCAGAACTCGCCGAGCATTCGGCCAACCACCGCCAGCCTGGCCACAGCCACCGGGGAGGAGTGGAATTCCTTGGGAGAGGAATGCTGCCTTCCCCAGCACCCAGCACAGGTGATCCCACAGCGTTTGCTCTGGAACAAGGGTCTGATCTCTGCAGACAAACAGCACCCAGCCAGGCACCTTCCCCTCCTCATTCCGATTCCCAGTTTCCTCCTTTTCCCGATGCTGAGCCCACCGGGAGATGGGGACAGAGCCCGATGGTGGCGGGACACACACTGTGAGCCCCATAGGGCACCGAGGGAGCTTTTCCAGTGGGATTTTCCCGCAGCACAAGGTTTCGGGCCCAAATCTCCGAGGGCTCCAGTGCTCCCAGCGCTCCACCGGGATGTCCCAGCCCCGCACGCGGAAGGGCAGCTCCGGACCCGGCGGCCCAGCCCGGCTGAACCGGGACCAGCGCGGCCCCAGCACGGCCCTACCTTGTTGAAGGCGATGTCGGGGCGCGGGTTGGGCGCCGGGATAGGGGAGGCGGCGGCGGCCGAGAAGGGCGCCCGGAGCTGGGCCGGGCAGAGCCGGGAACTGCGCACCAGCGCCCGCAACATGCTGAGCTGAGCCGAGCTGAGCTGGGCTGGGCCAGGCCGGACCCCGCTCCTCGGGGCGGCCCCGCTCCGCCCCGCCCCGCCCACCTCGGCACGGCTCGGCCCACGGGGCTGGGTCCTGCACGGCTCGGCTCGGTGCTGCCTAGAACTGACTTGGCGTGACTTGGTTCGGATGGAATCGTCTCGATCCAGCTCGGTGCGGGCAGCGCAGTTTGGCTCAGCTCGGCTCAGCACGGTCCCGTTTGGATCAGCTTAGCGTGGCTCAGCAGGACTCAGCTGCGCTCAGCTGGGCTCAGCACCGTTTGGGTCAGTTCAGCCCAGCTCAGTTCGGTTCAAATGAGGCTTGGTTTGGTGCACCGGGGATGCCTCATCAGCGTCCAGCAGCCACACTGTCCCTGCCACTGTCCTTGCCCAGGGAACTTAGTGCAGGAAACAATTAGGAAAAATGCAGAGAAAAAACCCAAAAGCATCTCCCTTGTGCTGGTTACTTTTGTGGGAAAGTGCTGCGATGAGGGAAAAGTTGGGGACCTGGCCCGTGGATGTGCCACCACTACCAAGCACAAGGGAATCCAAAAGAGAAGCTCCTGTGTGTCTGGCAGTGGGACAAAACCACTCAAGTGCTTTCACAACAGGGACATTACTCAGTGCATACAAAGGAGAGGCTTTGTAAAATCACTCCCAACAATGGCTCAAGGCCTTTTTTTCTTGTTTGCTTAAGATGCCTTGTGCAACTTCAGGCTCCCAAGTGCAGGTTCACATGCAGGGAACGGGGGTGTGCTCACGTTATCATCACCATCACTAAGGAAGCCACAGACCAAAAACATCAAGAGTTTTTAACCTCCCAAAGAAACCTTTGGTATTACCCTGTGTCTGACTGCACTTTTTTGGCTTCTTCAGTGAGGGGTCTCTGAAAGGTCACAGGGATGGCTCTGGTTTATAAAAGGCGCCACAAAAATTGTGGGATATGTCAGTTCAGATATAGTTTCCCCCAGTCTCCTGGAAGACCCAGGGTGCTGAAAGTCTTGCTGGAGGTTCCTGCATCTGTGGTTCTCCAGGCATTTCCCTCGGGAGGGGACTCTCAGCCCTGCTGTGCAGGGAGGAACCACAGAGCCCAGAGATGCAAAATGCCTGCCCGAGGTTATCCAGCAGGACTCAGATTAGGCTGTGTGTATCCTGGATCAGCTGAAAAGAAATCCTCTTGGGCAGAATCTCCTCTCTCATCCCTGTCCCCCTGTATCCCCTGAAGGGTGACCGATTCCCTTCACCACTCCAGACAGCAGGTCATGGACAGCCCTTTAGGAGATGGCACTTGCAAGGACGACTTGTTCCAACACATTCTCTGTTACAGACCTGCACTGTTAAACCACTGTGGGAGATGCCAGACAGACCTGTTTTACCTGCAGAGATGTGCCTGTGTCTCCCAGAGGGAGCAGGTCAGGCTGTGTATCCCCAGGGCACGTCAGAGAGCTGAGCTCCAGCTCAGGGCTAAGCCCCCATGTGTGTCCTGCTGATCCCATGGTGGAAAATGGATGACATTGAGTGCTAGCCCTGTGTTAATGCTCCTCTTGAGCCCCTTTCCTTCCCTGGGGCTTGGCAGACAGACCCAGCAGCACTAACTCACCTCGATGGCAGACCCAGCTCTGAGCCCTGCAGGGGCTGCGATTGAGCCTGAAAGATGAGACGGTGGGAGGTGCAGAAGCCAAGTGCCTGCTCGGAAACCATCCCAAATGCCTGGGCTGGGCAGATCCAGGCTCAGATACAGGCTCCCTCCTTCTTCCACAGCAGAGCCAAGTGCCTGAGGTTGAGGTGGAATTTCACTCCAGAGCCTGGGAGATTCCAAAGCTCAGGTTACCAGCTTCCCTAAGCTCCACGATCCTGGCGTTGGGCAGCCAGCATGGCCACCCCAGGGCTCCTGGAAGTGCCCCTTGTGTCCCTGAGAGCAGGGATGTGGTGCCCACCCATGGCAGGTGGATGTGGCCTTGTGAAAGTGGGCTGTGAGGCTGTGCCCATGCTGGAGGAGCTGGAGAATCCAAAGAACTGTGCCCATCACTTTAATATTGAACTAATACCACACATAAAGAACCTGGAATTACCATGATTGTTCCCACAGTTCTCCCCTTGCTCTGACCTCCCTGAAGTACTGAAATCTCCCATTGATCCAGACTGCATCTTCCATGATCCCTGAAGAGACCCAGAGAGACCCACTGCAGTCACGGGACAATGGAGTCCTCCAGTTCCAGGGGCCAGGCACTGTCTCAGCTCCAAAGTCTCCCCTGAATCCAGAGTCCTTGAGGTCATTCCTGACCAACTCTCCCTGCTGTGGGACTGACTCTCTGGAGCCTCATGGTCCAAGGATGATTTTGTCCCATATTGAGCTGGGCAATAAAGACACTGAGCACAGATAACAACAAACAGCACTGGAATTGGGAAGCTCACAGGCTGCCCTTAGCACAAGGGCCTCTCCTGTGCCAAAGTGGATGGTTTAGTTTTCCATCCGAGGCTCCAAAGGACTGTGACCCTCACGGGACCCTCAGCCAGATGTGGAGCTCAGGTCCAAGGGAAGCACCAGGCTGGGATCTGCACTGTGGAGATGTTCTGCTCCAGAGACCTGTGGGAGAGTGAGATCAGAGCCCAGTTGGGCACAGAAAGGGCTGCAGGACCAGGGCAGGATGGCAGGGAGTGCCCTGGGAACACAGTGCTGGGGAAACATCCTCCTGGGAGCCCCATAGGACAAATCACCCCTCATGCTCACAGGCCCCATGCTGCAGTGGGGTGGAGGAGGCCCTAGGAGGGAGGGGGGGTCCCTGTGTTGGTTTTTTGAGTCAGGGAAGGCTCAAGCATTAGGTGTCTGCTCACCTGGCTGCCCTGATCCACGGCCTGTACAGCCACCAGAGCCTCTGCTTTGGTCCTGGTACGCTCTGCCTGGGGGAAGAGTATTATTATTATTATTTTTAAGACACATTAGGTGGTCTGGTGACCCTGATGTCCCTCTGATAGCCAGTCTGAGGGAGAAACTGAACTCCTCTGGACAGGATCTCCCTGGAGAACTGTGGGGACAGGCAACCTTTGGGACCAGCAGGCAAGGTCTGCTGGCTCCTGGTGTGGGATGGGGCAGGATCAGCTGAGATCCTGCCCTGTTCAGCCAGGAGTGCCTCAGCCAAGGGCTGAAAACTCCCAGGAATAAACCCGTCCCAGCAGTGCCAGCTGGCACAGAGCAGCCTTGTCCGTGCCCTTGGCCCTTGCCCAGCCCAGGAGCACTGTGGCAATTCCAGGCCAGGAATATTTGGCTGTTTAACCCTTCTCTGCATTATCTTTCTGCTGCAGGCAGCAAGACTCCTCCCCTGACTTTCACAACAGACTTCCACAGCAAAGGTTGGCAGTGCAGGGACGATGCCAAGGGAAAGAGCAGTGGGATGGATGGGGAGATGGCAGGGATGAGGGGGCTCCGTGGACACAAGGAGCAGTGTCTCCACAAGCCCCAGGCATGGAGTAGAGAGAGTGTGACTGTTCTGATATTTGGCAAAAAGGAGTATTTCTAAGAAAGGTGAGGAGATCTGCTCATCCCGGCAATCCAAAATTCTCCAGAACTGCTGCTTCCCTGCCCTTCTCACCTTCCCAGCAGATCAGCTGCTAAGCATCCTGAAACACTGGGGTTTGCTGGTTTCTGCCAGAGCACAAGAAAATGCTTTGGAAGGGCAGAACAACAGATGGGATATGTTTTTGGCAGCTAAAAGGCAGTTAAGTAACCCACTAGAATTTGATAAAGCCACTAGAATAGTTTAGAGTATAATCTCAGTGGCAGCCCAAGGGTGGGGATGTTTGCTTTCATTCACACTGAATGAGAGTTGTGGAGGTACAAGCAGCTCCCTGGCCTTCTGAGGGACCTCTCAAGGAAGCACCAGAGGGACACTATGCAGGGAATTAGCTCACTCTTTCCCACAGAGAGTCAGCAGTGAGGCCTCCCTGATCAGGGACAGGGAATGAGCAGCCATCTCCTCCCTGGACTGGCAGGTTGGAAAGCCCAAGCCCAGCCAAGCTCTGGACACACCATCAGCACTGATGGCAGGACTTGGTGGAGCAGCACCAGTAATTACAGCTGGGCTGGCATTAATCTGCTCCTGTTGGAAGGGAGTTCCAGCTTCTGAAATCACTGTTTCCCAGGATATGAACTCTGTTACAGCCATGGGAACCCAGCCCCCTTCCTCCAAGCCACTGGATTCTGTGAGTGCCAAGTGTCTGATGTGATCAGGAGAGCAAGGGCAGAGGCCACGATCCCGACCCTGGGGCAGGTGCAGCAGAGCAGCTCCAGGGGGGAAGATCTCACCTGCAGTTCTGGCACAGCAGAGTCCATCTGGGAGTGGAGTCCATCTGGGCTGGGAACTCAGAAAGCCCCACTGTATTTTCCAGCTTGCAGTGAAGATCCTGGGCCATCCCCAACAGGCTGATGGGAGGAATGACCAGGGGAACCTTGGGAACAGGACGTGCCCAGGTGCTGTAACTCCTGCTGGGAAATGGCCCTCGCCCGGCCCAGGTGCTGGAATGTCGTGCGAGCAGCTTTGTTGGGGGGAGGCTCTCAAACACACGGAATCCTTCCTTTATGGCAAACTCCCAAGCCAGCTCAGCCACAAACTCTGCATCCTGAGGGCTGCTGTCACCTGGGGCTGGGCTGCCTGGGGACAAGAGAGCAGGACTTGTTTCAAAGAGCCATTTCTTATGTAGTCACATCCCAAACAGCACCATGTGCCCTCGTCTGGGCCAGCCCACAAAACCCTCTCAAAGGGATGTGAAAATAACATCCCGTTTTTCTCTGCTAAGGGCTCCAAGGCCAGAACTGATGTGTGCAGATGAACAGCACCGAGAGTTTCCACCACCTCCCTGTTCCCCAGCCCTTGGAGGAGGCTGGTGCTGAGTTTGAAGGTCTGAGAGCTCCACCTGTAGGACGCGGCTCTGGGCTCTCAACTGTGAAAGAGGAGACCTCACAGCAACCTCTGATCCACACAAACAGGAGCAGACTGTGCTGGAGCAGGGAGGCAGCCCTATGCTTTGCAGGACACTATTCCCATCCCTCTGGAACACACATCACTGGATGGCTGCTTCCCGGCCGCTCATCAGAGAAACAAGATCTTTCATTCTGAGCCCTCATTTCCCACAGGAGCTCTGTGCTGGAAGCACAAGAGTGCCAGACATGCCACACTTTGCTGTAGCACTTGGAATTTCAGAGTTCTAGGGATTCCCAGCCCGGAGTGCCCAAACCCTGCTGGTCTGACCTCCCTGGCTCAGAGAGGGAGCTCTCCCCAGAGCTGTGCTGTGTCTGTGCCCTGTGCAGGGCAGAGCTGCCCTGGTTGGGCTCCTCACCTGCCGCACAACGCTGGTGCCGCCCCTGCAGCGCCACGGCCAGGCGGAAAAAGGCAAAGGCCATGTAGAAATTCCAGTTCTCCGGGAGCTCCACTCCCATGTGGCCGCAGTACATCTGGGAATACTCCTCTGCCGTGGGAACTCCCAGCTGCCTCAAATCACACTTCCTCAAGCCTGGAAGGTGTGAAGGGGTGACAGTGAGTCAGCTGACAGTGAGGAGCTCACAGCTCCCTAGGGATGCCATGAGACCTGTGGCAGAGCCAGGCAGCTTCCATGGAGGCACCTGCACCCATCCAGGACCTGCCCTGGGGCTGGCTCCATACAGAACTCTGGGGTTGCACACCAGCCCGTGCAGGTGAAGTGCACACCGGGCAGTTCTCTAGGTGAGGGTGAGACTGTGAAAGCTGTGACTGACAGAGATTCCTCCTCAATGATGGAAGAATTTTCCTCTCAGTTTAACCCTACATTACTCCTTTTAACAAGTGTATAATTGTGGACAAACTGTTCCTGGTGTGGTTCGCAGCTTTCCCGCCCAAAAAAAGTTGCCCAGCTTCAGAGCTGAAGTGAGAGGGCAAGCAGTGCAAACCCAGAGCCCTTTGCAGTAAGCCCAGGTGCCAGCTGAGCTCCTGGGGCACAGCTAATCTGTTCTGAGCTCTGTTCCTCTCTCTGTATCACACTGGCTTTGCCCCTCTCTGTACCTCTCCGAGCACTAAAGTGAGGTGGCAGGAAATAGGCCATGCAGCTATTCGCCAAATCAGAGAAGGGATCTCCTAGAGCTGCAAACTTCCAGCCAAGGACAGCAAGGACTTCTGGCCTGTCTGGATGAAAGACCAGGTGGTCCATCCTGTATCAGAGGGAAAAAGAGATCAGAAAAGTCTCCAGAGGGGGAAAAAAATCCCAATGCTCAGCAGCAGTAGGTATTTTCCAGTGCTCTTCACTCTCTTCAAAAATTGCCAAGTCCTTTGGGAGGCTGCACAAGTGGAACATTAAATTTCTACAAGCAGAGGACGGAGGTTACTCAGTAGTGAACTCCCTGGTTAATGATGAAATGAACTGTGCTTTGGAGAATGAAACCAAGTTAGTCAGAGCCTCAGATCATCAGCAGATGTTACAGGACAGGCTAATCATAAACTGAAGCACACAAGTTACTGTCCAGGGGATGCTCTGGTCACTTTAAAGGCACACAGCCACTGCAGACCCTGCTCTGCCATGGGCTGTAGATTCTGCACAGCCCTCACCAGTCTGAGCCCCAGGAGAGGGCAGGACTTCCCTAGGGAGCAGCCATGGTGGGCAGCCACCCTTCCAGGAGCAGAGAGCTCCTGCAGCCTTGAGGGAAGGAGCCTTGGGCCAGACCTGGCACATGCCTCCATTGCAGCCCTACAGCGCTGGCAGGACCCAGCCAGGGGCTGGCAGCACAGAGGCATCACTCAGCATCCCGCCCCTCTGTCCCAGCCACCCCACTCCATGACTGCACCTGCAGCACTGGCAGGATTTGCCACCCAAACTCTTTCAGCACCGAATGCCATTAGCAAGAAGCACCAGGGCTGATTTCTGGGTATTGCAGAAACAGCTGATGATCCTCCAGTGTTACACCAGTGTTTGCAGCAGTTGGGTGAAGAAACTCTCAATCTCATTCCCTGGGGGATGCTGAACCTGACCCAAGCCCAGCTTTTGGACTGCTCTGAAGCTGTTTGTGTGTCACTTTACACTCCCTGTCCCTCTCTCCTGCCTGGGATGTGCTCCAGGGCAGTACCTGAAATCACCATGTACCAGTGTCGTCTTCTGAGACTCTGGAAAATGCAGAGGCAGCCACTGGATGAGTCTCTCCATCGCTGGGATAATGTGAGTTTCCACAGCTCGGTACTGCTTTGTCCAGGTCTCAACTTGCCGCTGAATGTAATTACCTGGAACAGGGAAAAGGGACTGGCACAAAGAGGCTTCAAAAGGGATGCAGAAAAAGTCCAACAGCCAAGCAGGACTCAGTCCAACACTCTGAGTTTAACTGCAATTTCCAGGGGTCTTGTACATTGTTAATTGGGCACTGGATTTAATATTCTGGTGGAAATAATCTGATCCTGGACAAATCTGATTTCCACCAGATCCAGGAAGCTGAGCTGGCTCTGCAGAGGCACTGGAGGAGCTGAGGAGGTTTGGTCAGAGATGGCAGCAAACAAGTTCCTCCCACAGATAAGTTACTCCATAGTGCAGCTTGTGTTCATGGCAGGAAGCTCTGGGAACCCCTCACAGGAAACACCGACTGGAGGATCTAAACAGCTCTCCAAACCCTCCCACCACACCTGGAGATGCAGACACTGGGCTGCCCATCTTCCCTTTCCCCACTGCCCATCCAGCCTATCCTTGAAATGCTGACACACAGGAGGAGATGGAGGATCCCTGGCCTCCTCTCACCGTGCTCCCCGAGGTCCTGCAGCCCGGCTGCCCTGAGATCCACGCCGTGGATCCTGGCAAGGACGTGGCTCATGGCGCGGTACCGGGCCTGGCGCTGGTGGGGCGGCAGCGCCGGCAGGGACACGTTGCGGTGGACACGGCCAGGGCAGAGCTCCATCACGTAGAAAGGTGAGCCAAGGGTGCTGGGGAAGCAAGGGGGGGACTGATGGGACTGAGTTCATCCTGCTACTGCCACCCCTCAAAGCTCACCCGCCCCCTGAACATGGACAGGGGAAGAGCAGCCTCAGCAGCACCTGAGCACTCACCTGAGCCCCACCCAGGCTGGTGTGTGGTGGCACAGGGCTGTGCCATGATCAGCCCTGGTCCCTCCAGCCCCTGGAAGCTGAGCTTAGAGGCTCCAGCAGCAGCCCTTTCCCTGCCTCCCTGCAGTGGGTGTGGAGCTGGGCTGTCAGGCTGCGCACAAACACCAGGAGTGCTGGACACACATTTAACTGCAGTGCAGAGACTGCTCCTGCAGCCAGCAGAGATCTGAGCTGCCTGCAGGCTATGAGGGGTGTCCTGGTCACAGATTTGCTGCTGTCATGGCTGTCTGAGGTCTGGCAGTTTGAAAAAACCCCTCTTCATTGCAAACCTGAGCACACTGAGTCAGCAGGAAGCCCTACAACATTGTTTTATAACTGCTTCTCAGAGGGAGCATTTTGATTAATTGCTAAAACAGGACACACCTAAACCAAGCCAAATAAAAGTGTTTCTGTCCTTTGAACCTCTAGAGGCTCCTCCAGCCCCAGACATGGCAAATGTTAACTACACCAATGCACTCTGTGAGCTCTGGCTCCTTCTCTCCTCTCCTCATGTTTGGGGGAATTTGGGTGCAGTTGTCAAGCACAGAGCAAAAGCTGGGATCAGGAACATGATCCCAGGGCCAGGATTACCTGCTGTCCTCGCAGAGAGCAAGTACAGTGGGAACAGGAACACCAGCCTCAGAGAGAGCCTTCAGGAGCCTGCCAGGTGAGTCAGAGAGCTGGGTCAGCACAGGGAGGCAGGAGGGAATCAATACTGGAACACATCCTTGTAGGCACACACACATCAGAGTCCTGTGCTCAGTGTTAAATACACTACAATAACACGGTTGGGGTGGGTGAAAGAAGAGCACCCAAGCCTTCATATGGCCCACAGTCCTGGGATCTGTCCAACACTCTAAAAACAAGGGGAGATCACAAATGATCCCCCCTAAAAGTCCTGCAGCTCTGTTGCTGAGCACACCTTGCAGCAGGACCCCTCCCATGTGAGGCATGGCTGCCTCTCACCTGTATTCCCTTGGGACAGCAGAGCTTGAGGGACTGGGGCTGTCAGGAGGCTCCTTCTCCTTCTTCAGCACCAGCAAACGATCCCCAAACTTGACCAAAAAGCTCCGGGCGGACTCTCCGTGGTCAAACTGCCGTAACTCCAGAGGGCCTGAGAGTTGGGAGCAGAGGGTCAGCACTTCTCCAGGTTTTACAGCCCCTTCCTGTACCTGGGTCTGAGATCCCACTCTGTGTCCCAAACCCCTGGGAGTAGCTCATAAATGGCTTACAGGACAAGAATATTCTTGGCATCTCTTTGGCAACTTGTGCTCAAACCACCCCCCCCCTCCAAATAAGGACATCCTAAAATGCTGTTTCCCATTTCTGGGAAACAGTGATGGATCACTGAAAGCTGGATGCCTGTACTGTTTGAAGATTAAGAGCCTTTCATTAATATTACTTTTCAATCCATCTGTCGTATGATGGAAAAAGCCAATGGCTCCAGAATATCCAGGCTTTCCAACTGAAGGGCCAAACCCACTGTGATACCTGTTGGGTGGGCACCCAGAACATTTTCAAGGTACTTTTGCAGTTGATCCTTTGGGATTTCCATGCCTGGTCCCACTGAGCGAGTATAGGGGACAAACCCTCGCAGAGGAAATCCCAGATGGGTTTCCAGCTCTTTGAGTGCTGCCTCCGGATCATCGACCTGAAAGCAGGAGGGAGAGAGAAACACTGGTGGAGGATAAAATTTCCTGGGAAAGAAAGAGCTCTGCACAGTTGTGATGCATTTATCTGTGAGTCCAATGGCACTGATCCACTGACAGCAATTCATGGGTCATTCCCTGATTCACTGACACACAGGAATTCACATATCATTCCCTGCCAATGTGGAGCTTCCTGCCTTGGTCTTTCTTGGACATGTACCTGTGATGGTGGCATAGGCACTGTGAGCCTGGGATAAGAGCTGGAATTCCCTGTGTGCAGTCCAAGGTAGCAGAGTTCACTCTTCCCACCAGTCCCACTCTTGTCCTTCCCCCAGTGGTCCCCCCACCGAAGTAAACCCCCCTCGTGCTCACTGTCTCCAAAGCCTGGGGGCAACCTGTCAGTCCCAGCTGACACATCCCTGAGGCCTCAGAGCTTCCAGGAATTCATTACATAGGGCTTATTTTCTCCCATCAGGTGGATGTGGTTGGCTCAGCCATAGGGTTGGGGCTGGTTCTCCCATAGGGAACTGAGGAACAGAAAGAAGAAGCGACTTCTCCAAAGTTCCACTGGCTGTAGGGTTTGGAGCTGGGAATGAAACAGAGCAGTGCAGACTCTGCCAGTAATCCCTACTTTAACCCCACCACATCCTGCAGGAACAAGGACAGGATGGAACAAAAGGCTTGGCAAGACGAGTCAGGCACTGCCACTGAAAATATGGAGCCGTTGAAGCCAAACAGCTTCTGGATTCCAAATCCATCCCCAAATCCCGCCCTGGATGAGTTGCTTTGTACCTTCACTGTTTTCATGCCAAGCTGGGCTGCTGCCTCCAGGTTGTGGCTGCTGCTGTCGAGGACAATGGATTCCTGGGGCTGGACACCCAAGCGCTCCAGGCACAGCCTGTAAATCCCGGGATCTGGCCAGTGAATTCCTTCCTGATGGGATTCAACCACCTACAGCAACACCAAATGGATTATGGATGAGCCTGCTGGGACCACAGACAGCTGTGCAGTGTTGGGAATGGAGATGGGAGGGTGAGAAATGGAAATGGAGGTGGGTGGGTGGGAAAGAGACTGACAGTCTAATTAACATGAGGGATAAAGGACACAGAACGAGGGCCTGCAGCTGGATGGGACGTGATTCCAGTGACTGTGTGGGTGCCAACTGCCTTGGCTGTGGCTCTTCAGCTCAAATCAGCTGAACAGGCTCAGCCAGTCCTTGGATGGAAGATATCCAATGAGATGTCCCCATGTGGGAGACTCACTGGGTATCCCAGGCCAATTGCTCAATGCTGTCCAAGGAAGCCTTGGATGGCAGCACCTTCCAGCTCTGGAAAAGTGTCCTGACCACTGCACCCACCAACCACCCCAAACCAACCTTGACAGCAGCTAAAGTGCTGACCACAACCATCTACTCAAATCCAGATCAAAAAAGTGTTGAGTAAGTCTCTGAACCCTCATGACCATGAGCAATCCAAGCACTGTTTCCTCCCTGCTTTGATAACACTCCAGGAATAAATATTAATCCACTGGATGGATATAAAGCCAACAGTAATGGAAATCCACATTCAATTATTTTTTTCCCCACTAATTGCTGTTGCCTGCTGTTCCAAAGCACCACACACACATGGGCTGTGATGTGGAGAGGTTATTGAAGTGCTTTGAAACACCCTGTGGTGACAATCACACAGATATCTCACCAGAGCATCACCCACTGCACCAGTGTCACCAGGAACACACAGAAAGCTGAGCCAATAATGGCATAATGTTGACAAGATGACTTTAAACAGTCCCAGGTTTTAAATGCATTAATATAACTCTTCCTTGCACATTTTGTTGTCTCAATCAAGGTTATAAAACAAGCTTTAAACTTCTGAAATTCAAAGATTTGAGCGGGGCACACAAAAAAAGCAGATTTTCTGTCATGCTGAGCCAAGTCCTCGTGTGCAAATGATGCCACTGGAACCAGCCTTGAGGTTCATAGAGAATCTTCTGTGTCATCTCTGCAAAGGTGAGGTGTGTTGGGAAGGAGGGCTCTGCTGGGAGAGGGGTCTGTGCTGGGAGAGGGGTCTCTTCCTGCTCCTCAGCTCACACAGATTGGCATGTTGGGGTACTGGGGTTTTTTGTAGTGTAGGGGATGTTTTGCAATTCTTTGAAGAGTCCTCAGTCTTTCAAAGTTTTTTTTGTTTAAAGCAGGCAGGGGCACTGGGTAATAACATTTATTTTTGTATGCTGTTCCAGCTTCCAAGTCCTGTATTGAAATCACTGCCTGTGCCTGTTACAGAGACTCTGGTTGTATGGGCACTCTGATTTTCCAGAGTCACTCAGCCCCTCTCCAGGGCCCAGTCCCTCCAGTGAATGATGCCAGGAAAGGTTTTCCCAGGCTCTTACACTGCTCTCTATCTGCCTACACCTGCTGCTGGTGCTGCTCACTTGGTACCTGCATGGAAAGAATTCCAGTTTGAGACTGAGGAGCAGAGCCACATTTAGGATCCAGCAGAGCCACATTCAGGATCCATCCAGCCTTACCACGTCGAAGTGCCGTCGATCCAGGGCCAGGAACCTCCCTCCCTTCCCCAGGGATGAGCTGTTGCTGAGCAGAGCTGTCTTAAGCCCTTCTGCTCGGACACACTGAGCTGCTTCTGCCATTGTGGGGAGCTGTTTTATCATCTCAGCCCGGATTAAGTCCCAGAGAAAAGAGTCGACTGGAACACGGACATCTGCCTAAGAAACCAGAGAAACCCCAGGAATGATAATTAGCCATAAATGGTTTTTAAGCAGGGATGAAAATAAAAGTGGTTGGGTGGGTAGACTGCCTGATCACCTTATCTTGCTGTCCTGCTTCCTCTGGCAGCAGGAGGCAGGCAGGGGATATCCCAGCTACGTGGCTTTGCCCAAATAAACAAGTGTTCTCACATTACTGATTCTACAGAGGCAGCAGAGGAGATACAGGGCTGATTTTGGGAAAGAGAAATGCACTGGGACTGTGCCTGCCATGGGATCAAGGCAGGGTAGAGACAAACAGTGACTGGGGAGGAACCTCCAGTTTACACTGAGCTGTTTCAAAAGGACGTTATTCCAAGAGGATTCTTGCTCTGTGTCCCTGGGGCTGTGGTGGAGGAGCTTCTACTGATCTGAGAATCCTCCCTGGAGACCATCCAGGAGGGATGGCCTCCATCCCTCCTGTCCATGTATGAACTGACAGCCAAAGCCTCCCAGCTGCTTTCTGACTCTGATTTCTCACCTGGGCTGATCCAAGAGGTGTCTTGAAATCAGAAAGTTATGAAAGAAGCTGATGGAAATTAAAGGAAATTTATCTGCCTGCCCTGCTCAGGTATCAGGGTGATGGTGGCAGTCAAAATCTGCCCTGCTCAGACAGCAAGGCTTCCTAGATTGGAAAATCCAGACCTTTCCAGCACAGGATTTCTCTTCCAAGCTCCTCCTTCCTCACTGAACCACCACAGCATTCTGTTTCCATGCAGCCAGGAAGCACAAGGAGAGGAGGAGGGGGGATTGGCTTACAATCTCAAAGCACTGCTGTCCCAATTCCTGCAGGAACTCCACAGCTGTCAGCTCTCCTCTGGAATACCTCCGGGAGGGACTGTTCTCCCCTCCAGACAGCAGGGCTTGCTGGATGGTGCCAGCTGGAATACAATTCTGGGCCTCCCAGTCTACAGGGTGAGAAGTGAAAAAGCCAGGGAAGAGCATGTAATGGCATCTTCAGAACTGGGAAATCAGCTTGGAACCCTCTGAGGTGGATCCATAGCCCATGAGGCTGGACTGGGGTGATGGACCTAGCACATAGGGAAGGGTTTGGGCATTCCAAGAACTGCAGCACCTCATCCCTGGTTTGGTGTGGTATCTTTGGAGGGTTCCTAAAGGTGCCCAAGGACTGCACCAACCTTGGGTGGTATCAGCTGGTGGCACTACAGGACAGTTTCATTACCAGGTGGGTTCAGGCTGGGTACTGTCACCTCAACGACTTGTGATGGCACAACAGGTCCCATCCTCATCATCTGGGGTGTCTCATGAGAACCAGGGGAGGGTCAGGTTGGATTTCAGGAAAAGGTTCTTCCCCCAGAGGGTGGCTGAGCACTGAACAGGCTCCCCAGGGAATGGTCACAGCCCCAAGTCTGCCAGAGCTCCAGGAGTGTTTGGACAACACTCTCAGGGACAGGGGGGGATTGTTGGGGTGTCTTGGGCAGGACCAGGGGATGGACTGGATGATCCTTGGGGGTCCCTCCTAACTGAGGACATCCCATGAGCTCAGGACTGGGAGCACACACCTGTGGCTGTGCTGTGGGGGTCTGGGAGCAGGACCCCGCTCTCCTCAAAGATCACGGCCCTGTAATGGCTCCACCTGGACCCGTGGCACCGGATCAGCCCCCGCGGGAGCTGCTGGATCCCGACACGGAGCAGGGCATGGGCAGAGCTCCTCAGGAACATCCTGAGACACAAGGGGCTCCAGGGAAACTCAGAGCTGGCCTGGTCAGAGGAGAGAGAACAGGGCACAAATAGACAATTAGAGGGGTGAATGTTTATTCATGGAATCTTTAGGACTGGAAGAGACATCCAAAGTAAGTCCAATCTCTGACCAAACCCCACCAGTCCCACTAATCCATATGGCAAATTGCCACCTGCACTCGTGTTTTGGACACTCCCAGGGATGGGGACTTGGGGACTCCACCCTGGGCAGCCACTGAGGTATTCATTAATCACGCACACTAATTGCTAATTAGCAATTGGAGCAGGTGGGGCTCCCAGGGAACAGGACAAAAGGAAGCCGCCTCAAGCTGTGCCAGAGGAGGTCCAGATTGGACATCAGGTAGAATTTCCTCATGGAAGGGGCTGCCCAGGGAGGTGGTGGAATCCCCATCCCTTGGAGGTGTCCAAGGAACGCCTGGACGTGGCACTCAGTGCTCTGGGGACAAGATGGTGCTGGGTCCCAGGTCGGCCTCGATGCTCCCGGAGCTCTTCCCACCCCAAATTCCCCGGAATTTTCCCCAGTCCCATCCCCGCCGCCCCTCGGGCTCCCCCGTCTCAGCGAAGAACATACCGCTCTCGCGAGACCCCCCGCGGCGCTGCAGCACCCGCTCTTCACTCTGCGTGCCGGCGCGCCCAGCGCGTGGACGTCACGGCGCGGTGCACGTCAACGCGGCGAGCGGCGCGGCGGAGGCGGAAGCGGCGGCGTCGTCCGGGCCCATGAGCGTTGTCCCTGGTGGGTCGATCCGCCTGGAGCTGGCCGGGGCCTCCCGCTGCCCAAGGCTTCGCCTACAGCGCGGGCCGTGGCGTGCCCGCGCCCCCGGGGCGCCGCGCGCGTACGCGGGGCTTCGCGCCGCCGGGCCCATACCCAACGCTGGCTTTGTCCCCGCAGGTCCCGGACAATGCAGCGGAGAGCACCGGCGCGGCCCCCGCCGCCGTGCCCGCCTGCCTGCAGGGGAAGGGCCCCGGGGAGCGCGCGGCCATCCTGCACCAACACCTGGGGCGGCGGGAGATGACCGACGTGATCATCGAGACCATCCGGCCCCGCGCAGGTACCGAGGGGCGCGGGCTGGGGCTGTCCCGGGGCTGTCCCCGCTGCTGACACGGCCTGCGGGTGTTGAGAGGGCTGCGGGGTTTGCGGGTCTGGAGCCGGCCCGGCAGTTTGGAAAACAAGCAGAGGAGTTCAAGAATGTGCGTTGGGTGCGGGGGCAGAGCTGGTTGTTCCAGGCAAACACTTCCCACTGAGCTCATCCCGATCCACAACTTCCTCAGGAGGGACAGCTCCCGTCTCTGCTCGGTGTGAGCAGGAACAGGACCCAGGGAAGGGCTGAAGCTGTGTCAGGGCAGGGTCAGGTTGGATCTCAGGAAAAGGTTCTTCCCCCAGAGGGTGGTTGGGCACTGAACAGGCTCCCCAGGGCAGTGGGCACAGCCCCAAGGCTGCCAGAGCTCCAGGAATGTTTGGACAACGCTCTGAGGGACAGGGTGGGATTGTTGGGGTGTCCTGGGCAGAACCAGAAGTTGGACTGGATGATCCCTGTGGGTCCCCTCCAGCTCAGGATATTCCCTGATTCACTCCACAGAGGTTTAATTTCTTTCAGGCTGTGCCACAGCTGACCTGTGTTTCACTCCCCAGCATCACTGGTCCGTAGCAATGAGACCATTTGCTCTGTAAATGTTTAATTTCCCTGGCAGGGAGGGATTTAAGGATGGAAACACCAAGTCTGACACACATCCAGGGTGCACAGCAGGAGCTCCCACTCCTCCCTTGCTCAGCAAACCTGTCCCAGTTGCTTTGTGCTCATACTGGTGTCTGTTGGGATGTCACTGGGCACGGGACAAACCTCCTCCAGCTCAGTTCTGGGGCTCCCACGAGGTGTCTGTAGCTCTGCAATGTCCTGGGGGGCAGCAGGGATGAGGGGAATCTCGTCCTGCTGCTCCCCAGGGCTGTGATTTGTGTGAACACAGACTGTGCTCAGGGCACAGCAGCACCTCAGTAACCAGGAAACTCTTGGTTTGTGAAAGATGAAGCAAAAGCTGCCGTGGAAGGAAGGAAATCCTCAGAGGCTGCATCTGCTGAGGACAAAACCAAACAGGAGGATCAGAGCAAGGAGCGTGAGGCTGCTCCAGACTCCCCCTCCAAGCAGCTCCCTGACCAGATCTCCTTCTTCAGCGGGAACCCTTCGGTGGAAATCGTCCATGGAATTATGCACCTGTACAAAACAAAGTAAGGATGGATTCCTGGGAAGGGTGAGTCTGTCACCCCGAGGCTGGGGCTCCTGACAGGGATAAACAGGAAGGGTGACTCCTCCTGGGAGGGCACAGGGTGACTGAGGTTAATGTTGGAGCTTGGTGGACCTGTCGGAGCTGTGGGTGACATTGGGGGTGCTGGGAGCCTGTGCTGGGGACTGTAAGAGCATAAGACAAGCACAGATTCAAAAAAAAATGACATTTGAAAGCAGCTTCCTGAGGGATCCCACAATTTAATCATGATCTCAGGGCCTTGGTGACAGGCCTGAGGAGCTGCCTGAGGAGCAGGAGGTTTCATCCTGTACTTCAGGGGTTACAATTCCACACCATTCCCCTGTAATTGTGTGAGAACTCCCATTACAGGTCTTCCTGAAAGCCACCAGGAGCCCCCAAATGGGCACTGGAAATAGTAACAAACATTGCTCACTTGTTCTAGGAACAGTGATCCCAGCATCTGGGGCTGGGCAACTTCAGCTGCCTTTATAGAGAAACAGATGTCCAATCATTCCTGGCAATCCCATTGCTGTTGGAGCTGCCCAGTTCAATCCTTGGCTGAAGGATGGCTGTGCCTGTTTCACGTGGGGGCACTGGGTGTTCACCACAACCCCTCTCAACATTTACAAAAGAGAGTTAAGGTTGATAACAGCTCCTGTAGTGACTGCAGCAGTTGGAATGGTGTGTCCAGCTGTGTGTCCAGCTGTGCCCTGCCCCCCCTGAGGTGTCCCTGTTGTGTCCCCAGCAAGATGACCTCCCTGAAGGAGGATGTGCAGCGCAGTGCCATGCTCTGCATCCTCACCGTCCCGGCCACCATGACCAGCCACGACCTCATGAAGTTTGTGGCCTCCTTCTACGAGGTGATTGAGCACATGAAAATCATCAGAGACTCCACCCCAAACCAGTACATGGTGCTGATCAAGTTCAGCTCACAGGTAAGAGCTGGGAGCCCCTTGGCTGGGGAGGTGGCTGTGCTGTCACTGCAGTTGCTGCTCAGGGGGGTTGTGTGGCTTCACTGGCCAGATGTCAGTCAGGATTGCACTCACCCCTGGGGAAACAGCCCTGTCCCCCTTCCCTGAGAATTCCTGGGGCTGCTAAGGTCAGTCCCACACCTGGAGGAGAGTACCTGCCATGTTCTAGCTGTGATTTTTCTTGGTTTAGTTCTTGCTTTGTCTTGGCAGGATATTTTATAAAAAACAGTCCAGACACAGAGTTCTCTGCTATCTCACAACTTATTCAGAGTGCTGTGTTGTGCTGTGCTGAACAGAAAGGACCCAGCCACTGGGGCTCCCTGTGTTTTAGGAAAGACCTTTCCTGCTTTTCTGAGGAGCTGGGTGGTCTCACAGCTACTGTTGGTGTGGAGAGGACAGTCACCCCCAGACTGAGAGCCCCAGGGGTGCTTTGATACCCAGATAACACTGTTTGCTGCTTACAGGTCTCCTGAACTGAATCCTGGCTTTAAATTCCCCCCTCCAGTTCCTGTGTGGACCCTTCCACTTGTACATTCTCTTCTCCCAAATGCTAATTTCATATTTTGGGGTTGAGAGATGTTTCCCCCATCTGTGGATGCTTCCTGACATGCTTCCCATGCCCCTTGTGCACATGGAATATTTGTGTGAGTTTTGTGCTAATTGAAGTAGTTACAAAGTTTATTTTTGTCTCTTGCTCTACCAAATTACACAGGCAAATATCTAATGCTGTAAATCCCTAAACTTGTGCTCAATTCACCCTAAAATTCCTGTTTCTGAGGAAATTCCTTGGAGCTCTGTTGACCCCTAATGGCTGTGCCTGCAGGTGACAAAACAAATCTCCAGGGCATTGATGCTGCTGGCTGGAATGACCAGGAATTTGGGAATGTGGCATTCAGCTCATTGCCTCCAATCCTGTGTTGAGAAAGGGTTAGGGGAGTTACTGAGTGAAAAGGGATGATGGATTTGACAGGGTTTGGTTTGGTTCTGCCTCTTTTGCCTGGATTGTGGGTGGTGAAATGGACTCTTTCCCACAGTTAAACTGTTGCTCCTTTCCCTGTCATCACTGCCCTGCACCGTGTCCCTCTTAAATTTTTGCAGAGACCAAATCTGCTTTACAAATGCCCTGAAATTGCTGACAAGGGGCAAAACAGATGCTGAAGGGAAATCCCTCATTCCTGCTGAATGATCCAATATCAGCATAGCTGTCACTGCCCTGGACTTCATTTTGTGTCTTCCAGTGATGATGCCAAAATGCAGTGCCTGGAGCTGAAATCCCTCCCCTGGTGTTACAGGGCTGGGGGAGGGGAGAAAGGAGGATACAGGAGGTTCCTCCTCCTCTTCCTGGGTTGTGTGAGCTGTGAGTTTTCCCTTTTTAACTGGTTTCCCCTGCTCTGTACCCAGGCTGATGCAGACAGCTTCTACATGGCCTGCAACGGCCGCCAGTTCAACTCCATCGAGGAGGATGTTTGCCAGCTGGTGTACGTGGAAAGGGCTGAAGTCTTCAAATCAGAAGATGTAAGTTTGGTCTGGTTTTTTCCCTGCACTTCAGAAGATTTTAAGAGGGTGATTTGGACTGGGCAGAACACTGCAAGAACAGCTCAACTGCATCAACCCAAACCCTGCTTCCCGTTCCAGTGTCCTTGGGACAGTTTTTGTGGTGACTCTGTGGGTTTTATGCCTTGTCTCTGACCTAAACCTGCCTTGTGTTTTCATTTAGTGAACCCCCAGAGCACAGTGGGGCTGGTGGCACATGCAGCACCTTCACTGAGCCCATGCTGTGCAGAGGAACCCTGCTGTGGGCTGTTGAATGTTGGGGATCACTTTATGTCAAATAAATTTTCACCCACTGTGTGTCGTGTTTCTGATCCCTGGTGCCAGCAAGAGAGAAGCTGGGCTTAGTTGCTGGTGCTTGGCAGGTGCTGAGCAGTCTGTTGTTGCCTTGCAGGGGGCCAGCCTGCCCGTGATGGACCTCACAGAGCTGCCCAAGTGCACCGTGTGCCTGGAGAGGATGGACGAGTCCGTGAACGGGATCCTGACCACGCTGTGCAACCACAGCTTCCACAGCCAGTGTCTGCAGCGCTGGGAGGACACCACGTAAGGGGCTTTGCTTCATTCCCACACCCAAACCCTGCTCTGAGT